GTAGCACTCCTCCTGCTTTACGTCACTACCGGCTGCCTTAGGTAGTACAGCCCTCCGATCCGGTCACCTATAGCAACAACCTTTTTGCCTTTCTGGATTCTGCAATCCTTCACACCAAACAGCACATCATAGCCATTGCTTGTGATTTGGCTCACTGAGAGCACACTTCCGGACAATCCAGGCACATACAGCAATCCCTTCAGTTGCATGTCAACGGACTCGCCTTCCAAGCCGACTCCAACGATCCTTCCATGTCCGGTTCCTCTGGAAGTTACATTTCTCCCGTCCGCCAACGACACCTTCTCTTCGCAAAACGTCATGCTGTCGAAGCTCGCCGTCGAACCAGCCATGTGCTTCGTACAGCCAGTGTCGATGATCCAACGACCGTCAATCGACACATCACTTGCAGTCGTCGTCGTGAAGCACACTCCTCGACTACTGCCAATGCTACCGGCATCCGATTGCTTAACCACCATCGACTTCGCTTGGTTCTGCTGCCTCTCCGCCATCAACACAGGACAATTTCGCCGCAAGTGCCCTTCTTGCTTGCAATGGTAACAAACCCGTACAAAACTTCTCCGTTCTTCCGATCGCATTGTGGTTTTCATCGCCATTTCACTGGCCTTTTCATGCACTTTGTTCTCGCATCTTCTCCGCCACTCATCTAGAAGCTTACCTTTCACGTACTCCAGCTTCAGGTCTTCTTCTGGACGGCCTTCAAGAGCAGTAACGAGCGGGTTGTACGTCTCCGGCAAACTTGACAACAAAATCGCCACAACAAGATGTTCCTTCAACGGCTCTCCCATGCTGGCTAGTCGGTGAACCAACTCTGACGCTTGGACTAGATGCTCCGACATACTGCCATCTTCTTTCAGCCGCATCGAGCACAATCTCCGCAGTACATGGATCTTGTTCGACAGAGACCCTCGCTCGTGGTAGCCTTTGAGCTTGTCCCACATCTCCTTTGCACTAGCAGCTCCCATAACATGGCACAGCTGACCATCTTCTAGCGCCAAACCGATCGTCGCTCGAGCCTTTTCGTTGTTCCTCGTCCAAGCTGCTGTAACCACCTCCGGCTTCGCGTCAATCACCGTTGTCCACAGATTTTCTTTGAGCAGCAACAACTCCATCCGGAAATTCCAAGTTGCCCAATTAAAATCGTTCAACCGGTCTAATGTTATCTTCGTCTCGGCCATTTTCCACGAAACAAAAACACTACGCGCACGGTCGGGCAAAGAAAACAGCTTCACAATCGAGCGAACAATGTTCACAATTCGATACTTTCCACAAAGTGTTCTTTCTTATTCCACTATAAGCTTTTTCCGAACGAAGCGTACTTCTTCAGTTCAAACAATCGCACTTTTAGAGACCGGACCAGCAAACAATAAGTTTGCACTTCAGCCCGTACAGGAGAGAAAAACAAAATTTCTCCTCCTCGAACAAAACTTTTTCCGTTTCGTATTCCGTTCCGTGCTACACACTTGGCCGATACTTCCCTGCCAACAGCACAATTTCACCCGACAAAAACGTTCAGCTGCGGACAACAGCACATACACCCGCCGGGGGAAATCTTCTCGTAAACAAAGCACAAACGCAACGCAATCCACACAAAATGTCTCCTCCACCGGAGAACACTTTTCCACTATTACTTTCTTCACGGATCTGGGCCCATAACCTGTGGGAATCCCAGCGCAGGTGTACACAGGTTATCCAAACCGAACTACCGGACAATAAACACCCGTCCCGGGAGTCGCGTGATAACGAAGAAAAATAACCGCGGACTACGTTCTACGTGCGTCTTTATTTACAAGTTACAATGGACTAGTCAACAAACATAAATTGTACACACATCAGCAATTTATGCTTCGTCAGTCTCTCACTCTCACGCACTCATACACACTCATACGGCAGCTGTCATTCTCGATCTTGGGAGCCACTATAGAGACTCACATGATAGATGCGCGTATCCAGGGGCTTTCACTACTTACTTCCAACAGAACCCACTCCAACTGTGTATTAGCCGGCAGCTTCTCCGTCAACTCCTGGATCAGCATCGGATTCATTAGATGTGTAGTGAGATCGGTAGCTTCTAGATGATCCGCTAACTGCTGAACGACTACACCGAACTGGATAAATGTAGCCAACTTATCGTCACTAGAAACGTGAATTCATCCCCTAGCGGGGACCAAGCGAGCCCAGGAGGTGAAGTACGCGCACTCGAAGGCTGGTTTCGAAATCCACAACTGGGTGGCCAACTCCGACGAATTTCTGCAGAGCATGGGGGAGCAGAAAAGTAACAAATGTGTTCAGCTCACCGAAGACATGGGTACGAGTTTGGAACGAGTCTTGGGCATAGCTTGGTGCCCGCTAGGGGATGAATTCACGTTTCTAGTGAAGCTACGGGATGAACTGATGACGTATCTGTCAGGAGAGCAAAGGCCGACAAAAAGGGTGATCATGAGCTGTGTCATGAGCCTTTTCGATCCCCTTGGGATGCTAGCAACGTTCACTATCCACGGAAAAATACTAATTCAAGATTTATGGCGTAGTGGCTGCGACTGGGATCAACCTATTGATGACGAATGCTGTGATAAGTGGAACCGATGGATCAGTTGGCTTCCGGAGATGGAAAATGTAAAGATTCCACGCCACTATTTTCGAAGGTTCAGTTCAGTCGACTACAGCACTCTACAGCTCCATGTCCTCGTTGATGCCAGCAATGCTGCATATTTCCGTGTGTTAACAGATGAAGGCCCATTGTGTTCACTGGTGATGGCGAGATCGAAGGTCGCTCCGTTAAAAATGCTGTCAATACCTCGTCTTGAGCTGCAAGTGGCAGTCATAGGATCCAGCTTTATGAATTCGGTGATCGAGGCTCATTCATTGGTGGTGAAGAAGCGGTTCATTTGGTCCGATTTCAGAACGGTGATTTCTTGGATTCAGTCGGAGCAACGCAAATACGAGCCATTCGTCGCTTTCCGGATTGGCAAGATTGTGAGCCTCACGAAGTATAGTGAGTGGCGAGGGGCCCACGATTCTTGTACCAGCCACAAGAGGAATGGTCGCAGCAAGACACCGTAGAACCGAATACCCCAGAGGAAGCCCGAATATGCCATTTGTTCCATGATATTTCGATAGTCGAGACGGTAATCGATGCCACGCGTTTCTCTCGTTGGAAGGTTCTCGTCCGAACAGTAGCCTGCATCTACAGGTTCAGGTCCAACTGTATCAGGAAACGGGAAGGCTTGGCGATTGAGGTGATTTCAGTACCACCAAGGGTGCAACGGTTGGTGAAGAGGTCTATACTAACTGTGTTGGTTCCACTGAAGCGAGAGGAGTTTCAACGTGCTGAAGCCTACGTTTGGCGGTCGGCGCAGGCAGAGGCCTACGAAGATGAAATAAAGATCCTTGTGAAGAACCGTGACCTTCCGTACAGAGAGTGGCATCCGTTGGAGAAGAATAGCAATTTGTACGACGTCAGCCCGTTTTTAGACGAGCAAGGTGTCCTCCGGATGGAAGGCAGAACCGTACAATAGCAATGCTTCCGACTGATGATTTTTGACTGATCCGACTGATGAGTGATCAAGCATTGACCAATGTACAAATGAAAAGTGATAATTTTATCACTGTTTTCATGAAATAAACGTTCTTCCCAAACCCAGTCGTCATAAACGAGTTCCTTTCAAGGTATGACATTGGCAAACTACGCAAAAGGAGAGTGTCGCTACTAGATAGGAAACTACTCATGATGGGAGGAGTCTGTCTAAGATCTTCATGACGAGGAACTTGCTTCTGTACTCATACGACGAATATAAAGGTATTCCAATCGTGGTGACCGGTGATTTTAACATTGACATTGCATAACCGGACGGTTATGGATTCGTTGAATTCATGGCGAACTATCTCAAGTTGAGTCTAGCGTCGAATCAACAGCCAACTACACTCGGGGGATCTTGTATCGATCTGGTCTTTATGAGACATATCTCGGATCTTAGGTGCAAACGATTCATCACCTACTTCTCTTAACACCGGCCGATATTTACTGCTTTAGGTAAGTAATACTCCAACTCCAACAGCCCTTTTCGAACAGTCCCTTTTCAAGGCCACCAATTCAAAAACGGAAAGAGTTAAGATAATAGATGATCGATCAATTAAAAGAACTAAATGCTCTTCATATTTGTTCCGTCCACTAACGGTTCTACGTCAAGCTTCCGCTCGTGCCCCTAGGTACAGACCCTTCTACTTTTAAAATATATTTCTACACGTCTGGGATTTTAAATTTTAGCTAAGACCGGCCTTTGTTTATTATAAGCCTGATTTTTTGAAAATAAAAAAATGTTCACCAGTGCCTAAGATCTTACAGATTTTAAAACTTAAGGAATTATAATAAACTATCGGAATTCTTAACATTTTAAAGATTAATTGACGGTCGTAAAATAATCGGGGTGGTGTTATTAGCGAAACTATTTCTTTTTAAATCATGTGCCGCATAGATTCACTACATTAGCAGTTTCTAATGCAACAACATACATACATAATGTACAATTGAAAAATAATTGGATTCAATTGCAATATATGAAACACCGCTATCAAAAGCATATGAAACATAAGTATAACAGGCAAAAATCAATATGAAAAATACAAAAACTTCTCTTACACAGCAAAAAATAAATTTTAATATTACATCCAAGACGATGCACTTCAATCATGTCAAAAATCTCATGTAATTTTTATGGCCACAAAAATAAAGAAATGCAGTAATAGCAGCGTAATGTCAGTTCATGCAATGTATTAATGATTGGCACCATATGTTTGATACGATTTGATGTGATATGAAAATTAATTTTTAGCTGTGTACGACGCTCGCAACCAACAACGCAACTCAAGACATTGTGAAAATGAAATCATCATTGAATCTCCTGATATCTGTATTCGAGCCACTCTTCCGTTCCCCTTAAAAACTGGCAATCACCAGTTGCCATTTATCCTCTCACACTCACCCGTCCTCAGCAGCGACTTTTTCGCAATCTTGACCTCCTGCATCGGTTGTTCCAGATAATCGATGCAATAAACACCGGCAATTATGCGATGGCTTCTCATGTTCACGTCGTGCTCGAAAAGATTCAGCGCCTTGGTTCCCTTTTTGGCGCGCTCCTTCTTCATCAGCTCGTCGGCGTGTTCGGTGTAAATTTTGTCCACATCGATATCGTGTCCCGCCCGCTCGTCCTCCTCCGAGTCGTCCGGGCGCTTCTCCCGGGGCTCTTCGTACACTGCCTTCAGGATCTCCTTCCGCTTCTTCCACTCGATTCTGCTAATAATACGCAGATCTGATATCGGACGGATGAAAAAAATAAATAAAGACAACATTCCTTCATGGAGACAAGGATAATGTACAGAACAGGGGGGACATATTAATTTACCAGCTCGATGATCCTGCCTGTAGGGCATGTCGTAGCTGGGGCAATAGTCACTGAAATGGTCATAACTTATCCATAAACCTCTTATTGCCGAGTGATGGCACTTTACGGCAGCTGGGAGCACCAGATGAAATCCCAACAGTGGGAAATCAATATCAGTGTGTTTGCTGTCCTCTTTGGCCTTCTCCTTTGGATTGCTACGTGGAAAAGTAATAAAACATTGAAATATCCCATATTGTAATTTCTGGCTTTTTGAGGCTTACAGTTGGGGTGTTGGCATATCCCGTAGTCCGTACAGTTGCATTTTGAACACATCCGATTCAAATTTGTGGGTCACCTCTAGAAGGCCGCTCAGTGCCATGTCCCGGTTGATGTTGCTCAGGATTTTGTACGCGAACTCGTCGATGTAATTGGCCAGCACCCGGCGGAATTCGGTTTTCATCTGCGGGCAGTTTGAGAGATGGAGCGAGATATGGAAATGAGTGAACTTCCCTAGGGGTTTGTGTTTTAAATGGAAAACGACCAATAAAAGTTTTATTTGCCATTGTGGTAAATTAAGACGTAATCCTAGCGCTCTGGCAGTTCCCAACTTTGGTGCTTCGAATGTGGTTGTTGGTTTTCGGGATACAATTGCGTTTTGGTTTTGATTAAGGAATAAATTGTAAAATTAGTGAGCTGAAAATTGAATCGAATTACGGTCATTCCAGTGAATGGAAGTTTCAAGCGGCGCTGGTGGTGTAGTGGTAAGCGTGATTACCTCTCACCCCAGCAGGCCTGGGTTCAATCCCAGTCGGCGCTGCCGGGATGTTCTGAGGCATAACATCTCTGATCACGCCTTCCTTCGGATGGGAAGTAAAGCCGTTGGTCCCCGGTTCATGAGTTGATGGGTCGATAGGTAGGGTCTAGGTGTGGGAGCTGCCTTCCTGGCGTCGGTAGCATTGGTGCTCAGCACGGAAAACAAGATCGACGGAAAACAAATCAAGGGAAAAAAAAAATGGATGTTTGCTGCTGGCTGGGTGTTGATTTCTTCGACCGGTAGTCTAGTAAAACTGACTTTTCCCCTAGAAAAAACATTACAGGACTTCAATTGAGTTCTCTGAATGAACAGGATTGGAATTTAGTAAGACAAAAATCTTTAGTATTTTTATTTTAGGATTTAGGCGTTTAGTGTCTTCAGTGAAGTTGTTATACTTAAAATTTTCCTTCTTTTGGTGTTTTCAAATATTAGGATGAACCTTTAATATTTTGAAATCCAAAAACTACACTAAACTAAAAAAATAAAGACACACATTGTTCAAAGAAGTTGTGCATGAGTTAATTTCAAGCAGTTTACTGAACAGTGTTAGGGTGCACCCAAAAAAATCTGTATTCAGTTCTAACATTTTTATTTAAAATTTTTCGTAAATCTGTCTTGAAAGAACTTTTAGAAATCGTCAAAATACAAGCATTGCCTGAGAAAGTAAATCTGTATTTCTCTACATTCAAAATATATTTAATATTTTCTATACAAAATAGGCCCTTTTCAATTGTCAACCACTCAACATGGGGCAAACGTTTTTCTTTATTTTAAGTTAAATTTATTCAAATTCTCTCACTTTTGCAATGAAATTTGTTAACAACTCCTTCTAAAATAGAGGTTGTAACCGTTGGTTTCATATACCCATTTGCATTGACTTTGCCAAGTGCACTAACATAGCCCGAATAGAAATATACCATAAGCTGAAAGATCACTATTATTAGTTATCCATTCCTGTTATAATTACCATAAGATAAACAATCCGTGAATAATGGGATGGTATGGCCAAAAAATATTTCAACCATATATAACAATAAACGGAGCATTCTAGATATGGTAATGATTCCCTGAATATGAAATATATAGTATTATGTAGTTTTTTCAAGATTTATGTACCATATGATATGATAAATTTATTTTTTCGTTGATATATGACGGCTAGCTCCAACTCGGGTTAATACTGGCTCTGATTGAAGAATCGGTCAAATGTTTGCTGTATTATTTAAAATCGACGTCGATAACAAAACAGCTCGACATTTCTGATCGGGTTTTAATCCGAGGATAATACTGGTGCACAATTGAATGATAATAATAATTGTATTGGCATTATTAAAGTCAAATACATAAATGCCAGCAGAAAAGATAACGTATATAATTCATTCCGCATAATATGTTGAATTACATATGTTATCTTTTTTTTCTAGTGTGTGTACACTTTTCTAAAATATTATCACTATACATCTGCATTTCAGCGGTAACATTTGAAAACGGCACAAAAACTTTTGTATACAAAAGTTGTAAGGCCCTTTACATGCGAACCGAACTACGCCCACGCAAACCAATACAACTATAGGAAAGGGGAAAATTTTACCCATCCGATGATGTTGTTGGTTTACGTGTGCGTACTTGGGTTCGCGTGTAAAAGGCCTTACAACTATTGTTTACAAAAGCTTTTGTGCCGTTATAAAATGTTACGCCTGATTTTATAATCCTCCCTTTGATTGCCTTGAATTCTGTTACAACTACTACCTTACATGAGTATCATCCCACTGTACATGGAGTATAACGGTTATGGTTGAAGTGCATGTCACATACACTATTACACAATTTTGTGTACAAATGTTTCAGTGTGTTAGTAACACATCAAAGAAATTCGGCATCACGGCTGACGACACGGTCTTATTTTTTCGACGCGTGAAGTGAAAAGTCGCGTTTCCATCGTCGTCGGCGTTCAGAAAAAAATTTCAAAGATGAACCAAAAACCTCATCCGAAGCGAGGAACACAACTCAGAGCCAAGCAGCCGCAGCGAGGTAAGCAATAATTTAATATTTTTAATCAATATAGTCTGTTTCATCGTAAAACAAAACGATGAAACAGTCGCCATTGGAATTCCTTTGGCCACGATTTTTGCGCGTTTTGCCTGCAGAAACAGACTGACAATGTTTTTTTTCATTTATAGAAAACCCACCTTCGAAACACCCAAAACGGAGGCAGAATTTGGAGGTTAATACTGCCACCGAGCTGAATCGACAGGACATAAAGGATGAGGTTAGTTATTCACCTTTTTATTTTTTTATAAGGTTTGAAAATTATAATTAGGGTTAATGCATATAATTTTAAATAGAGCTGGAATTAGGGCGTAACAGCTCTCGATTATTTCTCGAAAGTCATGGTTCTTGCTGTAAAATCAACATCACCAACGAGTATGGGAAGAGTTCCCCTATCCGATGGATATGTTGGTTTGTATGGCCGTGTCTTAAGCTCCTATAAATCAACGAGAGAAGTCATTGTTTAGAAAGGTTGATACGCCTTAATTATAGCTCTATCTAGAATTATAGTCGTGGGTCCGATTGGAATATAAAACAAAATTATTTATTCACTTCAACTAATTCAAGTTGAACATTGCGTTAGGTCCTAAGTAACATTGACAGATTATATTTGTCGACTTTCTCTTTGCATCCCCACGGCCATGTAAATACTTTCCAAGCTATGTTCAGCAAACAGATCGATAAAACTTTCGATTTTACTCTTTTTCTGTACGTTATAAATAGTGTCGGAAGTATTGCACTGTATAGCGCATCATTGTAGGATTACAGCGCACTATTCCCGACATTGTGTATAAGTACATATAAATGGAGAATAAAATCAACTGTCACTAGTATATTTTTCCGGTTTTCAACTGTACCGATATTTATTAAGTAACCCATACGTGCCAAACCTTTTCCGCCTAAAGAATCAATCTTGGCTCTAATTTCGTCATTATTAGACCAACTTTGATAAAACAACTTCCAATCGATCGGGAATTGTCTCTTGTTTTAGATTTTGTGATGGTTATGCTTCATTCTTGTTTGTTGTTTTTTTAATCGATTTGAAACCAAGAATTAAAAAACAATTAAATAAGGAAAAATAAGCTAAATCAATATAAATTAGAGGTAACAAGCGGTAATGCTGTTTAATCGAAGTCGGTCTATAAATGACGAAGCTGAAAAGGTTGGGTACGCATGTGTTAAGAAAGAATTGCTTGAATGGATCATCAGACTAATATAATTTTTTAATGTTTATCCACAGATAAAGTTGCTGAAAGAACCGCTATTCGGGTAGGCCCTGAGAATGCCGCTACAATTCGAACGGCCTCGGAAGATCTCCAATTTGAAGAAAGTGTGCAGAAATTAATCTGCATTTAATTTAATTTTACTCATCTTACTTGGTTTTTTTTTTCAACGAGAATCTCGATGGTTTTTTGTTATTGTTTTTGTTATATAATTTTTTTCTATGTTTATCATAAAAAACCGCACAACGAGCAGAAAATAAAGCTAAAATCAATTTCAATAATGTTATTTTTTTATTTTATTTGGGTTGAAAGATTATTATAATTATTATTCATTACTTTCCGATAATTATAACGGGTATCGTCATGATTATAAATTCCTTATAATATTACTATCCCAAAATTATACCCGTTATAGTTTTGTTATTATATATTATTATTCAATAGTAATAACGGATATAGCCACGGTACATACACATTATTTATAATTTTACCAGTATGGAACGATATATGTTATAATATAACAGAAGAAAATAAGATCATACAACGATTGTTTCCTGAATACTTTCGCGAACATTTTGTTTGAAAAAAAGTGGTTTTTTGTATGGTAACTATACTTAACGACCTATTAAGGTAATGGTAAGATCTTGTTTTATCATAACATTTATCATCGATATGATCCATTTTATCTTAGGTTTACAGTTACTGCAAGATAACATGTATCATCATATTATTTACTTGAATAATCATAAAATGATAAATGGTATAATAGCTTTATAATACATGTTTATTCGGGAGAGCTACTCCTTTCAACGCACCTTGCATTTGGTAGTCAAGTGCTGCCATCTGTGTTCATTTTCTAAGCAAATGAATTGGGTCTTCTCCAGTTTGTCTTACACTATAAATCCAAATTAGGGAAGAAACATAATTCTCAGGTTGAACAGTAGGGGGCGAGTCAAAAAATGAACATGAAAATTGTAGGCTCCCTACAATTCTAGAACTTTCTATTTACTTCGGTCGGACTGATTCGATCTTTCTGGCTCAAGACTTCAAGGAAGTTTGAAGTGCGCGGTGCATTATTACAATCGAGATTGTCCGTTGTGTAAAAAGTGTATGGTTCTCTTTGTAATTTTTTTTTTTCTATTTTAGATTACTTATTACAAAAAGTCGAGTGTTTGAAAAGTTAGTGTTAGTACGTGTTAGTAGAGGTAAAAGTGTTATTTTGTTATTAAAAATATATGTGTGTGTGGGTGTATTCCCTCTAACCTCCACTGGCCGGCAGTGTTATTATGGAAGAACTCTATCTACATGATGTCGCATTTATGGTCATTGTAGACAGCTTTAGTCCGGGAGTTAGAAGGTGATAGCTCTATTGCA